GTCCCTGTGCTTTGCTAAGCTTAGCTTGTTCTAAGTAGGTGCTTTAGACCACTGAGCCATCTCACCAGCCCCTCTCATTTATTCTTTGAGACAGGTCACAATATATAGTTTAGGCTGATCTTCAAGTCACTCTGTAGCCCAGGCTGGCCTTGGATTTTAAGGGATCCTCTGGCTTCAGCCTCCTGAGTACTGAGATTATGAGGTACATACCACCACCCCAGGTTTCAAAGCTCCTTCTCCCCAATTCATTCAAGGAAAACAACTAGCTTAGGACGAGCTGGACAAGGGCACCTGGCTAACGCTAGGACCGCTGCGCAGTCTACAGGAGTCAGCTGTTATAATTTCGTGGTTAAGACACAAACTGTTCATGAAATGCAGACCGGCAAGGCCAGTTTTTATCGTAGCTGTTTATCTGCCTATTATCTCATACAACACCCCTATTTGTCACCTTAGGGGAGCCCTCAGTTGGGTTGTGATATTGCACAAATAATAAAACTATTTATGAAGACAAGCACTGAGCTATAAATTTTATTGTCCTGAGTTACATCTCCAGCCCCAGCTCCAACTTTAAGAATTTGAGACAGGGACTCCATAGTAAGTCAAGAAAGTGTCCAGGCTGGGCTGGAACTTTTGATCGTCCTGCCTCAGCTTCCCGAGTGCTGGGACCACATGCATGTCCCAACCGCGATGCCTGCCTTGAGAAGTACTTCTAAAATAAACCCCGTTTCCATCGGACTTAGCTTAAGCCTAGCCCAAACTTCCTCCCAATTTCATGGTTTCCAGGATCCTAAAGAGCCCAGTTTCAAAAAAAAAAAAACAAAAAACAAAAAACAAAACCCAAAAGTCCAGATTCAGATCTAAATTTACAAACTCTGATGGCTCCCTTTTAAATTTCCTTGTCGCTGAAACTACTGCTATTGAATAATCGACTTTGTTTCGTGAGACAGGGAACTAGGTTGGGTTTTGTACACTCTTCCTTGCCCAGGACTGCAGTGGTCATGTCGGGCCTCTTTTAGGTCACTCGTCACGGCAGTGACTAAGAAGCGATCTTCATCCTCCAAAGTTGTACTGCACCCCGCGGTCCGGTCCCCCAACACCGCCCACGCCACCTACACAGCGCCGGGGACGCCGGTACCCACCGTGGCCACACGGTCCGCGGACTCCGGGGGCGCAGCCGCAGGGCGCGCAGCAGAACCCACGGCGGGCCGAGGCGAGGGAGCACACGCCGGAGCACGGACAGGGCCGACGTGGTGGGAGACCCCGCAATCCCAAAACCAGAAGGCTGAGGCAGGAGGATCACAAGTGTGAGCTCAGTCTGGGCGATCTAGTGAGTTAGCCAGACCTTGTCTCAAAAAAACAAAGAGCTGCGGATGCGAGTGAGCGCGAGGGCCCGGTGCGTTCCCCACACGCAGCGCCGCACGCCCCCCAGGCTCTGAGCACGCAGGCAGGAGCCCTCCGGCTTTCGCGGCGTCCACCCCGCTGCACAGGGGACTCGCCTGCAGTCGCCGAGGACCCGGCAGAGAACCCGCGGTCGCAAACGAGTGCGCTCCGCCCTCGGGACGTCAGCTACCCGAATCCAGTCTCGTCCGGGCCCCGCTGCGGGAACCCCAGCGCCACAAAAGGCGTACCCTAAGCCTTGCAGCAAAAAAGGGGTAGCAGCCGCCGCCCCCCGAGACCCCACCCCGCTCCCCACCACCCCCACGCGCGCCAAAGCTGAGGCGCCGCCCCTCCCCCACGGCCGAGCAGACGGGAGCCCCCGCACCTCCCCCGCTCCGGCGAGCTCACGTCCACGAGGCCCCGCCCCCGCATCCGCGGCTGCCGTAAAGCTCCATGGGGCTGCGAGTCCGGTGACTGTTTTTGCGCGCTGTGCTGGCGGGTTCTGGACTACAACTCCCAGAAGAGCCCGCGACGCCAGGCCACGCCCCCTAGGCGGAGGCTAGGGGCCCTGGACTACATTTCCCGATAGCGCTCTCGACGCTCCCGCCCTCCCTCCGGAGACACGAGCCGAACTGGGCGTCAGGTCGGGGAGCCGGTCGGGTTCCCGCTCGCTGCCGCCGCCGCCGCCGCCTCCCGCAGAGCCTCTCCCGCCTCTTCGCCGTGCCGGCCGAGGGAGCTGCATAGCTCACTCTGCTCAGCTGAGGAGCCACCGGTCCCGGGGCACCGAGCGCCACACGCGACAAACCGAGTCCCTCGTCACCTCCAGCCGAGGCGACCCCTCCCGGGTCCGCCCTCGCCCCGCGCGGCCGCCGGAGCCCCGGGTCCAGAGGCGCCCCTCGCCCGCAGCGCGGCCCCTGCACTCCGGCAGCCTCCGTCCTCCACCTGGAACATGGACTCTGACTCCTGCGCTGCCGCTTTTCACCCGGAGGTGAGTCCGAGCCGTGCCCGGTCGCCCTGGCCTCCGCGCTCGACCCCCGCGTCCGCTCCGGGCGGCTGACCCCTCCCCCCGCTCCACCTCGCCGCTCCCGGGGCCCAGTCCCCGCCCGGATCGCGCTGGGACCCCTGCGGGCTCGCCCCGACTCCAGCGACCCCTTTGCCTTCCCTGGGGCGCCGCGCCCACCCGTGCCGCGAACGCCCCTCTCCCGCCCGCGTCGCTGTGAAACCTTGCTGCACCCCCACCCCCCCGCGCCGGCGGCCGTCGCCTCCCTGGCCCCCGGCCCTGGGATCGGCCTGCCGCCGCCGCCCTTTCCCCTTCTCACTTGGGGTCCCCCCGCCCCTCTGGGCTTGGGTCACCCGGACCCACTCGTCGCCGCTCGGCCCCGCCGCCTTCACTTCGGCTCTGGCCCGTGGCG